TTGGTTTATCACACCATGTGTTTATTGGTTTCTCACCATGTGTTTATTAGTTTCTCACCATGTGTTTATTAGTTTCTCACCATGTGTTTATTAGTTTCTCACACCATGTTTTTTATTAGTTTTTCTCACCATGTGTTTATTGTTTCTCACCATGTGTTTATTGGTTTTTCACCATGTGTTTATTAGTTTCTCACCATGTGTTTATTGGTTTCTCACTATGTTTTTTTCTCACCATTAGTTTCTCACCATGTGTTTATTAGTTTTCTCACCATGTGTTTATTAGTTTCTCACCATGTGTTTATTGGTTTCTCACTATGTTTTTCATTAGTTTCTCACCATGTGTTTATTAGTTTCTCACCATGTGTTTATTGGTTTCTCACTATGTTTTTCATTAGTTTCTCACCATGTGTTTATTAGTTTCTCACCATGTGTTCATTAGTTTCTCACCATGTGTTTATTGGTTTCTCACCATGTGTTTATTGGTTTCTCACCATGTGTTTATTGGTTTCTCACCATGTGTTTATTGGTTTCTCACCACATGTTTATTGGTTTCTCACCATGTGTTTATTGGTTTCTCACCACATGTTTGTTGGTTTCTCACCACATGTTTATTGGTTTCTCACCACACGTTTATTGGTTTCTCACCACATGTTTATTGGTTTCTCACCACACGTTTATTGGTTTCTCACCATGTGTTTATTGGTTTCTCACCACATGTTTATTGGTTTCTCACCACACGTTTATTGGTTTCTCACCATGTGTTTATTGTTTTCTCACTATGTGTTTATTGGTTTCTCACCATGTGTTTGTTGGTTTCTCACCATGTGTTTATTGTTTTCTCACCATGTGTTTATTGGTTTCTCACTATGTGTTTATTGGTTTCTCACCATGTGTTTGTTGGTTTCTCACCATGTGTTTATTAGTTTCTCACCATGTGTTTATTAGTTTCTCACTATGTGTTTATTGGTTTCTCACTATGTTATTCATTAGTTTCTCACCATGTGTTTATTGGTTTCTCACCATGTGTTTATTGGTTTTTCACTATGTTTTTCATTAGTTTCTCACCATGTGTTTATTAGTTTCTCACTATGTGTTTATTGGTTTCTCACTATGTTTTTCATTAGTTTCTCACCATGTGTTTATTAGTTTCTCACCATGTGTTTATTGGTTTCTCACTATGTTTTTCATTAGTTTCTCACCATGTGTTTATTAGTTTCTCACCATGTGTTTATTGGTTTCTCACTATGTTTTTCATTAGTTTCTCACCATGTGTTTATTAGTTTCTCACCATGTGTTCATTAGTTTCTCACCATGTGTTTATTGGTTTCTCACCATGTGTTTATTGGTTTCTCACTATGTTTTTCATTAGTTTCTCACCATGTGTTTATTGGTTTCTCACCATGTGTTTATTGGTTTTTCACCACATGTTTGTTGGTTTCTCACCATGTGTTTGTTGGTTTCTCACCATGTGTTTATTGGTTTCTCACTATGTTTTTCATTAGTTTCTCACCATGTGTTTATTGGTTTTTCACTATGTTTTTCATTAGTTTCTCACCATGTGTTTATTAGTTTCTCACCATGTGTTTATTGGTTTCTCACCATGTGTTTATTGGTTTCTCACCATGTGTTTATTGGTTTCTCACCATGTGTTTATTGGTTTCTCACCATGTGTTTATTGGTTTCTCACCATGTGTTTATTGGTTTCTCACCATGTGTTTATTAGTTTCTCACCATGTGTTTATTGGTTTCTCACCATGTGTTTATTGGTTTCTCACTATGTTTTTCATTAGTTTCTCACCATGTGTTTATTGGTTTCTCACCATGTGTTTATTGGTTTTTCACCACATGTTTGTTGGTTTCTCACTATGTGTTTATTGGTTTCTCACCATGTGTTTATTGGTTTTTCACCACATGTTTGTTGGTTTCTCACCATGTGTTTGTTGGTTTCTCACCATGTGTTTATTGGTTTTTCACCACATGTTTATTGGTTTCTCACCATGTGTTTATTGGTTTCTCACCATGTGTTTATTAGTTTCTCACCATGTGTTTGTTGGTTTCTCACCATGTGTTTATTGGTTTCTCACTATGTTTTTCATTAGTTTCTCACCATGTGTTTATTGGTTTCTCACCATGTGTTTATTGGTTTCTCACTATGTGTTTATTGGTTTCTCACCATGTGTTTATTGGTTTCTCACCATGTGTTTATTGGTTTTTCACCATGTGTTTATTGGTTTCTCACCATGTGTTTATTGGTTTCTCACCATGTGTTTATTGGTTTCTCACCATGTGTTTATTGGTTTCTCACCATGTGTTTATTGGTTTCTCACTATGTGTTTATTGGTTTCTCACCATATGTTTATTGTTTTCTCACTATGTTTTTCATTAGTTTCTCACCATGTGTTTATTGGTTTCTCACCATGTGTTTATTGTTTTCTCACTATGTTTTTCATTAGTTTCTCACCATGTGTTTATTGGTTTCTCACCATGTGTTTATTGGTTTTTCACCACATGTTTGTTGGTTTCTCACTATGTTTTTTTTGGTTGCTCACCATGTAATTATTGTTTTATCACCATGTGTTTTTTTTTTTTTTTTTTTTTGGTTTCTCACCATGTGTTTATTAGTTTCTCACGATGTGTTTTTTGGTTTCTCTCCATGTGTTTGTTGGTTTCTTATCATGTATTTATTGGTTTCTCAACATGTGTTTGTTTCTTACCAGATGTTTGTTGGCTTTACAACATGGTTTCAACTGTCATGATATGCGTCAGCGTAACATTTTTTACCAATCAATCTGTTACTTCTCCACCTCGGTGCCAATTCTTTTCTTTTTAGTCCTTCAGTCTCATATTGTGAGGGTCTTTTGGGAGCGAGTGAACAGTGCAGAGGAGCAGACAGATCATTAAGGTCTTAGAAGGATGGAGCTATGAGGAGTTACCAGGGGATCTGGCAGGTGCTCAACACTCAGAGGAAGGATGAGACAGATATACAATCAGACGGCTGCAAGTACAATCAGAATTGGAACTCTTCGCTTGCTGCTGAAGATGGGGACTGAGCACTTATGGGAGTGTCCTGAGTGCTGTGATGTTGATTCTAAATTCAACATTCAAGTCTCATATTACAATGATTGTTACTTCTCAGATGAGACAATGGATTCATTAATAAATTATTAAAACATACAGAGGTAATATAACAAATGCTTGCTACAAAAAGAATTATACAAAATTAATTTACAAAACTTTGACTAAGTGGGAAGGGGGGAAAACACATACATGGGAAGAGTATGCGTATTTTCCCCATATAACATTCGTTAAGCTTCTTCGCTGAGTTCACTGGATTAATTTATTTATATCTGCTCGCCTACCTGCAGTCAACCTAGTTTTCATCACCAAAAGAGGTAAAGAAAGGGTAGCCAATTTTTCTAGCTACACAATAAAAGGTCTCTGAGAGACAAAAAAAAAATTCTAAATAAGATTTTGTGATGGCCATGAAAGGAGGTGAGCATACGGCTCTTTTCAATAACTTGTGACGGTGGGATTCACAACTAAAGGCTTCTAGGGCTGTTATCTCACAAATTTAGCGATCTTCTTTGTCAGCAATAAGCCCTTGAGGTTCAGTGCTGCTGACATCAACTGCCTCTATTCACCTCTGTGACTGGCCTTCTCTTTCCGCTTGATAACTCCAAGTGCTTGAAGGTATGCCTACACATTATCTTTCCACAATCTTTTTGGTCTGCCTCATGGTCCACTCCCATTCACCTCATTTGTGTAGGCAGTTTTTCCCTCTTCTGCTATCTGGCATTTTCTCTGCATGCCCAACCATCGTAGCCTATTTAGCCCTCACGATACCAGCAATTAGTGGTGACTTAAAACAGATTATGAAGTTTATTGTTGCTTCTCACTTTAAATTCTATGCCATCTGCATCTTTAATGGGTTCAAAGATTCACTGCAAGATTTTGTTCTCAAAAGTTTGTAATAAAGCTTAATCTCCTTTAGCTGTACTCCACTTAGGAAGCTCCCCTGGTCTAGTTAGTGCTTTATATATTGTGATCTTGTTACTACGAGAGATTATACCTGGGGGTGACATTACAGGTTTCTGCAATGGAAAATTTATATCTCAGGCTGATATTTACAAGATATGAGTGATGCAGACCTGTTGGAGATGACTTCTTGCTTCAACCAGAGCATTAGGACAGCTTCAGTCCCAGAAGAGTGGATGCACAGCTACCTGATTCCACTTCCTAAGCCTGGCAAGAATCATTCAACACTCGGCGGCTTTAGGATCAAAACCCTACAAAACACCTTTGGTAAAGTGCTGGAGAAGATAGTGGCGGGTAAGCGGGTGGGAATATCTAACCCCTTCGGGCCCGGACGCAGTGTCTTTTGCCCTTTTCAGAACATGTTTTACATCTTCCACCTGTATGATGTCTTCATAAGGTTTGTTCTTTAAGATGGCTGCCAGATCTTCTCTAACTTTATCTCTTGTACCTCCAACATTGTGGTCTGTCTGAAATAAACCTCTTCAGGAAAACCTCCCCCTTCTCTATGTCTGTAGTTAATAGCATACCGTCATCTCTATGAATTGCTCCTACTACGCTTGGCCAACCTTTCTTGAGCATCTGCCTATGTAGCCTCCAAAACTTTCCCAATGTCTCATCGCTCCCAATCTCATCAATAAAATGCATTGATTTCAACAATGGTAATATTTGTTGATGAGCTCTGTCAAGAGCACTATTAAGACTGATGTTCATTTCTGTAAGGCTGTTCTTAATGACATCACTCCATATTTTCCGAGGTCTTCCACTCGCTCTATACCGGTTGTAACGTTTTAGTGTGGCTCGCTGTGGCGGATAGTACCAGGGCATTTTTGTTAGGTGTCCAAACCACTTCATTTGTTGATCTTTGATGACCTGTAAGACTGGCCTTATTCCTAGCATTCGTCTGATTTTATGATTTTGAATTATATAGACACCTGGTATAAATGTAAAATGTTTAAAGTGCTGAC